TCAAATAATGAGAAAGAACCAAATTGCCTATCACAGCTATGCTGATGATACCCAGATTAACCTTGCCTTATCACTAAATGACTACAGCCCCATTGACTCCCTCTGCAAATGCATTGATTAAATTAACAGTTGGATGTGCCAAAATTTTCTTCAGTTAAACAAGGAGAAACTTCCAGAAGAGATCAGATGTGCTAAAACATTAGTCACATTTAAATGCAGACTCAAAACTCATCTGTTTAGCTGTGCATTTATTGAATGAGCACTGTGCGAAGTCCGAACTGATTGCACTGTATTTTATGCATGTATAATCATTTTCTATTTTTAACTTTCTTAAATTAATTTTAAATCAATTTTTAAATCTTCAAAATTTTTAAATTCCTTGTTTTATTTTTGTGATTATTATTTTTTTCTTATGATTATTTTACTTTTTTTTATGTAAAGCACTTTGAATTACCATTGTGTATGAAATGTGCTATATAAATAAACTTGCCTTGCCTTGATGAAAGGAGCAGACTCAGGGGCTGGAGCCGACACTGGAGCAGACTCAAGAGAGCGGATCCGGGTTGAAAACAGTCTCTTCCTCATGCTTCTCTTTTGGTTTGAGGTTAAGGAGATTGGAGCTGGCATCACAGGGCTTGACAGTGGAGCAGCCGGCGGGCTTGAGAGTGGAGCGGCCGGTGGGCCTGAGAGTGAAGCTGTTTCTGGGCTGAGGACTGGAGAGGAACTCGGGAGAACTCTGGGAAGCACAGGTGGAACGTAGGGAGCGGGCTCATTTGAACGGTATGTGGAGGGTGCCGGCGGATGGTGAACTGAAGCACCCACATGCTTCCGGATGGGAACATGACAATTGTCTACATCAACTAAGAACTCCAAGCCAGTTAAATAGAGGATGCAATTAATAAAGTCAGCTACGGGTCTATAACAGTCATCAGGATAAAAGACATCATCGTGAAATGTGCTATATAAATAAACTTGCCTTGCCGTGATTTTGCCAAGTCAAACATGATCTTTTGTTGATCCTGGAACAATATTACTCTCCAAAAACATTGACCTAATCCTATCCCTACCGCTAAACCTAACCCTACCCATAATTTATCCTAAAAATCAGAGGGGAATGATAGCTGAATAACAAGGGTGCAGAAGCACCTAAAGTTTAGATATTTTTACTTTAAACTGATACTTTTCGCAATGTCTTTACTTTTACTTTTTGTCAATACAATTGTCTGAGATGAATGTGTCACTGACAGAACATATTAAAAATAATCACAATATTTAATCATTAGACTTGGATTAATATTGGCTATATGGACACTCATAAGATGTCTATATGATAAGCACAGGTAAAAGTAAAACAAAGATAACAGATAAAAATAGATGGAAATACTTTAATAGAAATTTCACAACTCACAACTGTTAAAGAGATAGATGATAACTATTTGCATCATAACCTCTGGATATATTGGATAAGTCAAATAGAATTAGATGGTCAGGCTGGTTATCCCCAGAAGAAGATTCCCTAAATACAGCATTATACAGGAAAAACAAATTTTTCCGCATTGGCCGCAATTTAATAGTAGCCATGCATTCTGACAAAACTGATTTTTTTGCAAGCAAAACATAAACTGCATATATTTCATTATATTATAGTAGGCATTTTCCAGTGCATAAATGTGCTGGGTTCTTGAAATCATGAAAATAATGTTCTCGCAACACTGACTAGCTGAAGCTGCCACAAGAATGATACAGTCCTGAGCCCTTCACTAGCAACTTTCTGCTGGTTCATGAGCCGAGAAGTGAAAGGCAGCAGACAGGGGAAAAAATAAGTCCATTTCACACTATTAAAAACATCCAAAAAGAAATCAGATACTGGTATAACTTTTACAATATTAGAATGATATTTTTGCGATTTATACCAAAGAAGGTATTCTGTTAGAATGCACAGCTACGTTTAAAAAAGCCTGTCAAAATGATGCTTTCAGTGTAGTTAAGCCATCCACCAGTGGCTAACTGAACCAATCTTAGACTTATAAACCTGACACCACAGTCTCTTGTGGGTCTCATTGGCCCATGTCGTCCCTGCTTTTGGTCAGCTGGAAATAGAGGCCCTGTCCTGTCTATACATACCTGACCCAATGCAGTGCAAATGCGGTAATATAAAGCTGGACTGACAGCACATAAAACGGCACTGGGAAAGATTTAAAGCAGGCTTGCGTTCCCGGCCCAGCCAGAACATTTCCTGGATGAGAAAATGTCCGGGAAAAAGCTAATGGCCCATCTCAAGTCTGCTGGGAGTATGTGAAAAGGTTACCACACACACGGTTAACCTCGTTCATATGACCTTATGACAAGACACATTCTTCTGATCTCCGAATATGACTTATGAGGGTGTTCCACCACGCGCATGAGCACATACACACATTTGCACGTGTGTGCATCCATGCGAGAACACAGAGGAACACATTAATCATGAATAGTGTCATTAGCCTAAAATGTCCCACAATGCTAAGGCCTGCAAATGTACAGGCTAATAACACTAAAATGTCCCACAATGCAGCAGGCCTACACATTTGCAGTCTAACACACACACACTGTCCATTTCATCTCCTTTGATCGCTTTATCCCTGCCTGGGCTCTAGTGTTAATAAGTAAACAAGCTTTCTTCCCCAGCAATCACTGGAGACATGGCAGACAACGAAAAATTAATGATTAGAGTCGGCTCGTTTTAGTAACGAGGCTTTGCTGGGACCGAATATTCAAATGAGAATTTATGACTCATCAGCAGCTTCTAATTAAGCCCGACCGTTGCATTATTTATCAGCTGTTTACCACAATCACTGACAGTGTGTTTGTCTCTGGATAGGACTGTATTTTATGCATCTACCTAGCAAAACAATTTAAAATCATCAAGACAGTCAAAGTCGAAGCTTTCATATTTATATCACATGAATTTAATTAACTTCAATATTTACATGTTATGTAATCTTACAGTGAAACGAAAGCTGATGTTTAAGTGTGGTTGTACATTACACAAAACATGAAAAAAATCCTGGCACAAACTGCAAAACCTTTTTTCCCCCCTAAGTATATTTCATCTGAAAATGAAGCTTTGATGAAACTCATTTACTCACCCACATCATTCCAAAGTTATGAACAATAATAATAAAAAAAAGTTTATTCTGCTCTCCAAAGACGACAAAAAAAGCATCATGCTCATGCACAAATTTCACTCTGTTCCTCACAAAAATGCACAGTATATAACATTTTATAACTTAGGAAATAGGATTCTTTCATTATGTATACAGCATTAAACTAAAATTTAAGAGATACAAATCATACATATTAAGGACTATGAATGATTTTGCATTATATATCATGTGCACATCTAAAATCCAACAAGAACCTTATATTATATATTATTGAATACTGATTAACGATTAATGATTTTATTAAGAATAGAAGACTTTAAATGGGCAGGTCAGTGTAACTCAATGACTGTAAAGGCCTTGCTCTCTTCAAATATTTGATGCTCCTTAAACTGAAATTCAAAGTTAAGAGCTCCCTGAAGAAAGTTCTGATTAAAGATATATGTTGAACAAACAGCCTCTGGCATCTTTAGGTCAAAGTGCTTGAACACTAAATGCGTGTGTGAGTTTTCACATCAAATGGTGCATCACACAAGGCTCTCAGCTCTCTCCAAAGCTTTAAAGTCATATCAAATAACTGTTTGATTTGTGCTCAATAATTCAGTGTCAGTGCCTGATGAACATTTCATTCTTTTCATTAGCTAAAAGTTCCTCTAACCGCTATTAAAAGTGTCAGCCAATCACTCCAGCTTAGAGCTGTGGAGAACGCATTATCTCAATTAGAGAGAAGCTCAGAGTGGCATTAGACTGGGAGTGAGCTTATGAGTCCTGCATGAAGGGATAGAAACACGACTCCAGGGTCACTGCGGAGACGCTTCAGAAATCTCTCTCTTTATAGTTCGCACTGCGGGCAGAGGTGAAAAAGTGTTATACTTGGTTTCATTTAGTTTAGTTATGAGCAGATAATTCAAACACCACCACAGCACTTCATCTAAAAAGAGAAACTGAAAGAGTAATAAAAAAATTTTTTTTTTTAAATACAATAATTAAACCAGCCTGTTCAAACCAAGTGATGAGACTAAATAAAAATAATCAAACAATATATATTCAAAAACAAAAGGAAAAATAATAAAATACTCTGAAAAAGTAAACCTGAATGAAAATTAAAAATTGTACTTGCCCTCCAAAAATATTTTCTTATTTATTATTTTTTTATTTTCCTCTATTATTTTCTAATTGTATACTCTTATGTGAAAAATAAACTCGAAATATATATTTTATATCTATACTATTTTGTCTAAATATTTATTTTGAAATTTGCTAAAATAATTGTATTAAATGTTACTAAATTATTAGTGTTTTTAAAAATTTACTTTTAGCATTAGATGATGGGCATTAGGGTAATCTAAATGTAAAAATCACACATGCATGCATATTTTTTTCACACATTTTTCAAAAAGTTACATATATTGTAAACACTGGGAGGCATTTACCAGGTGGTTTTAACTTGAAAATCTGATTTTCAGCAACTTGCTGTAAATGTGTGTAATTTCTGCATCTCTAACAGATAAAATATTGACAATTTCAAACAATTTCCCATCACCTGCCGTTGGAAACAAAACAACAACCAAAACAACAATTCCACCTCAAAATTATATCATGGTTGAGCCAATGTTGCTGTATTGGGCTGGTCGACAAACACAGAGACCTAAATCAAAACAATCTGTCTGTAATCAAACGCAGATGCAATTCTATTACGCAACCTTATTAGATCATGCCAGCAATCACATCAGCAGTTTGCAAGGAGCTACAAACACTCAGATTCATCTCACACTGGACGGATAGGAATACAAACAAGAAAAAAAAGACTACATGTTCTCAATAAATGAAAACTCGACAACACAGTTTAACAACCTAAGAAACAAAAAGTGAACACCAAAGATGACCTCAGCCTTAACACACACACGGCTTCCTCGCTTCTAAAAATACTCCTCATTCCACTTTTTTAGCCTCCTGAGACTGACGCGAAGGAAGAGAGTATCTTCCCAAATTATCATTCTTATCAGAGCCGGTCTGAAGTACTGATGACTCTCTCGCCGAGCTCCGACACACACACACACACACACACACACACACACACAACAAAAGACCGGAATGAGAAAGAGATGGAAAAAAAGAGAGAACATTATTCGTACCCAGTGAAGATGAGGAAATGTGTTAAAGCCTTAAAGCCAGCTTAGTCTCTAAGAGACTTTCATATGCTCCTTCACTCAGAGGAAAATCACTATAGAAGCCACATCTATAGCTAACACAATGTTAATCCTGCATAAAGGTGTCCTGACATCAACAAAACCCTAGAGTAAGAAATTCTGACATGTACAAATCACATCACAGAGTAGCATGGCATAGCAAACAAGGTTGTAGGTTCAAACCACACAAAAAATGTTACGTGAATTCTACTGTGTCCTGTATTAAGTACTTTAAATCACTTCCAAAGGGCCAGTTAACTGACAAACTATTTGACAGTAGCATGCCCTAGAGAAGAATTGTTGAATTTGTTTTCTTTGCACACAAAAAGTATTCTCTGAGCTTCATAAAATTAAGGTTGAATACTATTTTAACGTTGTCTTCACTACCTTTATGGGCCTTAAAT